TGGTGGCCATGCTCCCCCCTCTTGCAGCACTAGTACTAGTACTAGTAGTATTGTTGTGCACCAAAAGAATCTATCTACTAGCACTACTAGTAATTCTAGTAGTAATGGTGATACTACTACTAGTAGTACATGCAATCTGAGAAGTAACTGTTTGACAGATCATCCTCCATTGATTCTACTAGTAGTATGATACAGTGGGGGAACAAGATTCTTCTTGATATAGTACTATCCTAGTGCAGAGTTGCAGTCGTAGTAGTACTACTAGTAGTAGAACAACAAGAAGCACCATTTTTGTCTCCTGAGAACTGATGGCTCTGGTGGCGGCTTACTACTACCTACCAGTAGAAGAACAAGAGAGTTTCGAATGCTTTCAAAATTGCCTTTGATTCCTTCAAGAGCTCTGTGTGATCCTTGAACGACCATTCCAACCAGTGAATGGCATCCACAAAGATGGCCCTTTAGTTTCAAACAATTGGACATCCAGATTTTTACTGCTGGGCATCTTGATGCGTTTGTTTGGATTGAGGTTGAGATAGATTAAATCTTGAAATGTAATAGAGTGAACTATTTCTTGATTATGAGATGGTCTGGAGAAGTTAAATGCAGCAAATCCTTTCTTCTCCACAAACCTCCTGTACAAATCAGAAATTCAAACACCTCCACAACTCAGGAAGGGAAAAATGACATCATGGGTATGTTAGTGTCAGTTTTTGGTTTCTGGTTTGGATTGGATTTCTGTTTCAATCTGTTCATGAATAAAGAGGACAAACAATACTAAAATGAGTACTGAATATTTGTACAAAGTACTTGTGTACTAGTGGAGAACCCCTACTACCACATGGGAGTTGCTGCTAAGAGAATGGTTGAACAATGGGGAAAGACTGATCTGTTTCACAAACAGGCATTAATAATATTGGTGCCTGTATACACAGTCACAGAGGAACAACCACTCGCAACTTGTCTCCTTTGGCTGCCTTCTCTTCACAACCTGACAGGATTACTATGGACCAGAAATGCGACCATTGGGACAAAAATTGAAGGGGTGTAGCGTGCCAAAAAAAGGGGGGAGGGGGGGGGGGGTACAGAATACAATAAAAGGGACGCTAAGGCACCTGATAGGTTGCGATCACTTTTTGCAACATAGTAGCGCCTCCTTTGCTGGTTTGAGAAGTAAAATTTATTCTTTCTTTTACTAGAATTCTTTATGATCACTGGCAATAGTAGTAGTACTACTAGAGTAGCTAATACTACTTCTTGTACTCTGCCACACCATATCCTCCTTGTTCTTGCTCCCAAACCAGTTTTTTGGTTCAACCTTGACAACAACCTTGACCCCTACAGTCAAGTTTTGTCCAGCTTGAAGGACTTCTTTTGCCCCTTTATCAGCTCAGTATGATGTACTTCCAAAAGAAACTAGTAGTACTATGAGAGATGAGATATTCTTGAAGTTCTCTTTTGTTTGGAACTTCTATATTGCACTATTTCTTGTTCTTGTTTATTGTCTTGTAAGAAGAAACCACCAGTAGTAGCACATGCCCATAGAGCAAATTTGACTCCAGTAGTACTTTGCTGACAGTGTTGCTAATAGTAGCACCAATAGCTTGTGCTACTATCCTTCGTTAGTGGAAAAAAGGAGATGGTAATTTGGACATTTTATTTCCTGAAGTAATTAATTTGAGGTCGCAAGAGGAATTTTAAACAACGCGCACTTCATCTCCACGGTGTGGAAAGGCCCCATCAAACGAAAAGGCTATTAATACTAATGGTACTTGTAGTAGGAAGGAGTAGTGGTGTCTGGTTCTAATTCTCTTCACATAGAAACTACAACGACTAAAATTCTTTTTATGCCCAAGCAGACGAATACAGCTTCTAATTCATGTTTGCCCCATGTGAAGCGTCAATGCTAACAACTGCGCAACAACGACCGCTGCGGAAGGAACCACAATCTACACGATGCTGAACAAATATCCATCGAATCCGATATTGCTATCACACAAGTATTTCCATTACATTCTGTAGATCTTCACTTCGTCCAGTTTTTGTTTCATGTGTTTTCTCGAAAAGTGAGAGTATACCGACAGATCTTTCTCCACTTTGTGACAAAATTTCTAGCTTCGATCTTTCCGCCATCCATATGTCAACGTGAAATATAACTCTGGACTCTATTTATACTAGTTCAATGATGGCCATCTTGGCGTTGTCTCCTTGACGGGCGACGGTTCTCAAAACACGGCAGTATCCTCCGTTGCGGTCGGCATATCTGTCAGGGGCAGCCTCAAAAAGAGAGTGAACAAGTTGCTTGTCGTACATCCAGCCCATAGCTTGACGTCTGGCGTGCAAGTCTCCACGCTTTCCGAGTTCGATCATGTGGTCGACGTGTTTTCGGACGGCGCGGGCACGAACAAGAGTCGTCTTGATGCGTCCGTGTCTGATGGTCTCTGTGGTAAGTGCTCGGAGGAGTGCCTTTCTCTGGTCAGCAGGCTTTCCAAGCTTCTTGAATCCCTTGCGGTGGGAAATCATACTAAGCTGGGTGCTAGGTGCAGAAGCCCGTTCTGAAAGGCACACGGGCGATCCAGTGAAGGACCCGGCAGGGGCTGAAGTCGCGATAGAAAGTAGAATCAGGGACCAGGTTAGTGAGCAATATAGAACAATACTTAATACATCTGAACTCTTCGTCTAAAATTGCGTTTTCATCATCAATCGTCAAGGTTTCTTCCCGAAGAAACCATTTTCATCTCGAGTGTACCGACCGAGCTTCGTTTTGTGAACAATGTGCGTGCATGGAATTAGTGAGACATACCGAAAGCAGATGCTCCAACAAGAAGCAACAAAAACGAGATAATTTTCATCATGGTTGAAAGAATATTTGTCTATGACGTTAGCTATTCAAGTCTGATGAATGATGGTCAAGTGAAAGCGTCTACAACAAAACGACGGTTCCCTTTCGGAGTTCTTATCGATTTTTAGGCTGCACCTACGTGATAGGACACAATTCCATTCCTTTTTTTACGGTTGATGGCTCTCAAGAACAAACCACGAGGAACTTGCGTCGAAAAAAGAAGAGTCAGCCGTGTAAGTTTGTAGGGCGTAGCCGTGATGTGAAATTAGAGAAGTGCGTCAGCGCGCAGATCAGGTCTAATTCACAGAGGAGGTAAAAAACTTTATTTTGAATTCCATTTATACCTTATTTCATCTTTGATTTTTATACGACAAAGGAATTCTACTTTTTGGAAAGTTTTGGAAAGACATTCGTGTCTAAATGATTGAGTCACAAATTCCAAATAGACGGCAGTCAGCCATCATAATCATCTCGCTCATCACTCATCAACGTCGTGTCTGTAAGAAAACGAGCGTTTTCTCGTCGTTCGTTGTAACGCAAGTACAATACTGAATGTTCACCATCATCTCGTAGGCTTCTCATCATCACCATTAGAGTTCCCAATAGAAATATTCAATTCAATTTAGACCATGAAGACTGCCTTTGTATTGTCCACTCTCCTCGTTGGAGCCCAATCCTTCGGTAAGATCCGCATAAATGGAGAACAGCGTATTGAATTTCAGCGTGGTCAGTTACGGCAGGAATTCTGGACATAGGTTATTTCGTTATCTGACGACGCCCCTTCTGTTTCCAAACATCTGTTGTTTCATGGCAATCTCATTGTATTATGCTTGGACAGCTCCCGTTGCTCCTGGACGTGCTTCTTCTGCACTTGCCGGAGCCGTCCCTGAGGACCAAATGTCTGATGCGCAAAAGGAAATCGCGGGCATCCAGACCAAGTGGAATGAAGTCAGACATCTCACCCGAGAAGAAGCCAAGGCACAGCTTGACGGAGAATGGCTTGAAGCCCACACCAGATTCTATGATCAATACGACGACGACATGGAACGCATGATCGAAATTTTGACTAAGCTCGAAAAGCAAATCGAACCTCCTCGAGTCGAAAAGAAGACAAAGGGACAAAAGAGACGTGATGCCTTTGCCAGAAAACAAGCACGTGCTGCCGCCTAAATTTTTTCTATAGCACTTTATATTCTTGAAACTGCAGTGTGAAAGTTTTGTGAAAGCGATGAAAATGTTATATTTTGATTCTGTTTCGTGGGATTGGAAAGTATGTATTATGTCAGACGAACAGAGAATCGATCAACTTTAATCTGAACCAAGGTTGGATTTCATTGGTGTACATCAAAGGTGTTTAGGTTACAAATTCTTTTTTATCTTGTTGATATTAGTTTTGTTTTGTATCGTATTAATCGATCTTCGACGCAGGGAAGCCGAGGAAAGAATTCAGCAATCTTGGCATATCATTTGGATCCCCTCCCTGGTGTGGAACTGGAACAAAACCAACAAATGATTCCCACGTTTGTGAGTCGTTCAGTTTTTCGGGACTATCCACCATGAACAAGCAGCCTCGGTCAGCCATAGCACCAGCAAGTTCCATTTGATGGTTGTCCATTAGATCCGTGTTGATTACGACAACGAGTCTTTTCTTCAACCTCAAGACTTCCATTACGGTCCCAGCACCGGCATGAGACACAATAAGATCCGCCTCAGCCATGTCCTCTATCAATGAGGGTCGAAAGTCGTAGGTTTTAATCTTCAGAGAAGATGGTGGAAGCTCGGGTTTCTCACCGCGACCGTATTGAATCGTTAGAGACGAAAACCCATGCCGTTCCATCCATTCTAGTGCGACTTTGGAGGTAGATAATCTGACAAGCTTGTCAAATCTTGTTGTGCCGACTGTAACAAAAACGTTCTTTGCTTCTTTGTCGGACACCGCTGGCGACGCTGAGCTGCTTCTCATAATAGTCCCCAAGCTAAAGTGATATAAATGCAGTTCCGGCGTCGCATCTTGACTATGTGTCCGAAAGTTGATAACAAACGAAGAACGGCAACATGCGCGCGAAATCAGACCGAAACAGCGGAAACTGAATAGTACGTAGATAGTACGAGGTCTACACGCTACGAGTAGTAAAAACATGCTAATAATGCTCTTTCGGTAAATACTACGAAGCACAAAAATGATATTTTCATGACTAGAACTATTGAAATGGTAAAAGCAAGATGTTTGGCATCCTCATCGTGATGCCTTCTTGCGAAACTGGAAATATTAGTAAGTGCTAAGTAGAATACACCGAATCTTATAGAAGGCAACGTAGCATATCAATAACTGCAAGTTGTCGGATTAATCAATCGTCAGAATCCTAAGCATCTTGATCTCTACCAATTCCAAATGGGCCACCAAGCGAATGATTTCCTCTCTGATCCTGCCATTGCAGAAAGTCTTGGGGTCCTTGTTGAGGACCAGGGTTGGCAAGTTGAGGTATATGTCGACTCTCTTCTTGATATGTGAATGATGTTAATTGCATGGACGTCAATTTTATTATGTCCACAAGTAAATCTGGCTCTGCCTTCAACTCGTCCAGTCCAATTTGAATACTTTTTTGGTTCAAATTGTGCGTAATAAACTCAAGAGCAATATCTTTCAACCCAGGTGCATTATGCTGGTGACCTGTTAACAAAACACTGGTCGCGTTTTCTAAATTGATTTCTTTCCGAATGATGTCTTCGCATTTTGCCTTTAATCTCTCCAACATGAATAATTCACTAGCTATCAGGAGATTTATTGCGAGTTCGGGCGAAACGTCACTCACGGTGTCTGTGTAAAGGAACTCAACCACTTTCAAAAATGTTTGGTACGAAATGTCTGGAATTTCGATGGGGACGTGATTGTTGGAAGATTCGGACATATGGCCATTGAAGAACATAGCCTGAAAGTATTGAGATCGGACACCAAGAACTGCTCTGTGACCGTGTATTTCTTTACCTTCGATTAAGAAGCATACGTCTGCCGTATCTGAGTCATTCATCAAACGTCGAAAATCATCAGCTATAGAGGAAGGTGGAACAGCGATTGGCTTGAGTCGGCACTTGTACATATCATTCATAACCGAAGTACCGTTATATCCAGCAAAAAGGTAAAGATAGTTCTTGTACGTTTGCGCAACCAACGAAGATCGGCCACTAGGAACATTGTCGTTCGATAAATCAACTTCTGACCAATAGTTTGATTTGAAATCATATGTGTGCATATCTGAAAGCCTTTTGCTGCCTGAGAATCCTCCGAACGTTATCAATTTATTTTCGTATAACACGCAGGAGTGGAAATAGCGTGGACTGGGTTTGCTTCCCTTGTTGTTCATTTGTGTCCAGGTTTGCGTATCTAAGCAGAAACGGAAGAAACTAATAGGTGGCTTTTGGTCAGAGAACGACTTCTAGATCACCTTGGTTTGTTTTGATAATCAAAACATCCTTCACTGTCGTTTCTGTAGTACTTACTCATCTTTTCGTTCGTTCCCGTCGTATCCCCCATGGAGATAAATGAATTTTTCATCCTTCGCCCACGCTGGACATGATCTTCTAGATGGCAACGTTCCGTGCTGTTGGATCTCGCTCCATGTTAAGGATTCAAAGTTGAATATGTACATGTCGTTCAGCCAGTCGGAGCCTTCGAAGCCTCCCCATACTATGAACTTGTTGTTGTGCGTCACACTAACATATCCGAAACGACAACATGGTCGCTTCCCCGAGATACTTCTTCTGCTTTGGGTTGAATTATGCCCCCCAGCTGTGAGAGCCATATTTGCGATGGCATCATTGCCACTGAGAGACCCATCTGCTGCCGTTGGCCTACCAAGGCCGGCACTTGTCTCATGAATAGAATCTGCGCGTCGTGAATCAGAGGATTCTTGGATGCAAGTCCACCGTTTGGTTGTGATGTCAAAGCTCCAAAGATCATTGAGCCATCGTCTTCCGTTGTATCCGCCAAAGAGAATTATTGTGCGACTCGAGCTGGATATTACAACGCCATTGTTCTCACGACACCCCGGTTTTTCATCTCCAGCAGGCTTGATTTCTTCCCATGAAGAAGTCGCAAAGTCAAACGAGTAGAAGTCGTCCAATCTCCCCGCTCCTCCACCGAACCCACCGAAAACATATAGTTTATCGTTCAGTACTACACTTGCAGCACCACTCCGGGGAGGAGGAATGCATAATTCGTCTTTGTCGTTGATTCCATACTTGCCATCGCCAGATGAGTACGGAACTCGGGACCAACGGTAACATTCCTGGTCGCAACGAATGGAGGACCTCGAAGAATTGGACGATCGATTTGCAGGCCCTGCGCCGTGACTTTMTGGGCCGGAACGAGGCAAATTGGACATCACTTTTGGATTTTTTGATTGCTTGTGCGGTTTGGAGCGAAGTCCATATGATTGTGACACTGAATTCTGTTATCGACTCCGCCTTTCAGAGATAGAAATTGAGGGAAATGAAAACAAGGATCTCTCAGAATACTTCAGAAGAAGACATCAGATAAACATTTTTTACATACTCGTACCGGTATGTGTTGACGAACAGACGGCGCGACCAATGTGGATGACGTCATATTTGTTTATTTGTCCAACATGGACATATTTGTGGACTATTTGTTTAACAAAATGTGTGAAGAGAATCCGATGGGAGAAGGGAAGAAACATTCCCATATCCAGAGATTCTCATTCTTTATTAATTTATCTAGTCAATAGGATTAATTTCTTTCAGGCTTCGTACGTTTACGTATCGAAACAACATAAATTAATAAAGGAAAGAACAAGTCGATAGCCAATACTGTCTATCGCCAGCGACGTCCAGTGATCCAAGGAACACAGACGCCTGATACAGGACCCAAGGGTCCAATAAGAGCATCCCAARAGGACGCCAGCAGTTGCCAGCAACATGAGCAACAATGACACCACCACAAGCGGTGGCGAGTGGACCAAAGTGGTCAATAACAACAACAAACGTTTCGGAAAGGGGGCAAGCAAGCCCGGAGGAACAAACAACAAGAAAACCGACGGGCCTACAAAGAAATTCACTGGCCACGATAAGGGAAGCCTCCAAGGAGTGGTCCTTACGGAAGATGGGAACATCACCCAATTTACTGAACTGCAAGACAGACTTCAAACTGTGGGAGGAACACAATACATACCAAAAGTTGGAACATCCATTGAAACTCTGAAGGTGTT